ACTCGCTTGTGCTTATATTAAATTTTGAACTAATGTTAGTAGTGATAATGGACAGCGGTGGCGATCCTGGGCCCGATAGAGGGACACGTCCCCCCGGAAATTTAGATATATAGCTAGAAAGAAATATACATGTAGCGGAAAGAACGTACATATTGGACTAAAGGATTTTCTAGAATGCATAATTTCAGCATTCTACATTGCAAAATCTCGCTTGGTCTCTACGCCCCGCGGCCCTCGCCCGATAACACAAAACTAAGATATGACGCTCCCGGTCGCGATTATTTCATGGTTGGTGTATAAATAGATCTTTTTCCCCTTTCATTTCTACTGACCTAATTGTATGCTATCACAATCATGATTGTTTCATTTTCCCTTTAAAGCATGCGTAGCTAGGGGCGGTAGGGGCAGTAAAAGGACATAGGACGAAAAAAGGAGCAGACAAAGAAACAATTTTGACAAGTCTAAAACGGTACAACAAATCATCTTCTTTCTCTAATAATTTAATGAAACGTTAAGCTTCTGCGCTTTGCGCTGGAAGGGGTAATCTGAATTCTGAGAAGGATTAAGAGTCGGGAATGGAACAACGAATTATCTTCTTTCTCTAATAATTTCATTAAACTATGAAAGGTCAAAGCTTCCGCGCCTCGCGCGGAAGGGGGAAAATGAATTCAAACAAGGATTAAGAATCGAGAATGGGACAACGAATCATCTTCTTTCTCTCATAATTTAATGAAGCGTCAGAAGCTTACGCGCTACGCGCGGGAAGAGGAAAACTGAATTCAGACAAGGATTTAGAGTCGAGAATGGAACAACGAATCATCTTCTTTCTCTAATAATTCAATGGAACGTCAAAGCTTCCGCGCTTCGCGCGGAGGGGGGAAACTGAATTCAGACAATAATTAACAACCGAGAACGGTACAACGAATCGTCTTCTTTCTCTAATAAATAATGAAACGTCAAAGCTTCCGCGCTTCGCGCGGGAGGGGGTATGGAAACTGAATTCAGACAATGATTAAGAATCGAGAACGGTACAACGAATCGTCTTCTTTCTCTAATAATTTAATGAAACGTTAAGCTTTTGCGCTTCACGCGGGAGAGGGGGGGGGGGGGGACTCAATTCAGACAAGGATTAAAAGTCGAGAACGGTACTCTTAATTCTCTAATGATGTAATGAAACGTCAAAGCTTCTGCGCTTCGCGCGGGAGGGGGTATGGAAACTGAATTCAGACAATGATTAAGAATCGAGAACGGTACAACGAATCGTCTTCTTTCTCTAATAATTTAATGAAACGTTAAGCTTTTGCGCTTCACGCGGGAGAGGGGGGGGGGGACTCAATTCAGACAAGGATTAAAAGTCGAGAACGGTACTCTTAATTCTCTAATGATGTAATGAAACGTCAAAGCTTCCGCGCTTCGCGCGGGAGGGGGTATGGAAACTGAATTCAGACAATGATTAAGAATCGAGAACGGTACAACGAATCGTCTTCTTTCTCTAATAATTTAATGAAACGTTAAGCTTTTGCGCTTCACGCTGGAGGGGGTAATCTGAATTCAGAGAAGGATTAAGAGTCGAGAATGGAACAACGAATTATCTTCTTTCTCTAATAATTTCATTAAACTATGAAAGGTCAAAGCTTCCGCGCTTCGCGCGGGAGGGGGAAAACTGAATTCAGACAAGGAATAAGAGTCGAGAATGATACAACAAATCATTATCTTTCTCTAATAATTCAATGAAACGTCAAAGCTTCCGCGCTTTGCGCGGAGGGGGGGGGGGGATGAATTCAGACAATGATTAAGAACCGAGAACGGAACAACGAATCGTCTTCTTTCTCTAATAATTTAATGAAACGTCAAAGCTTCTGCACTTCGCGGGAGAGAGGGGGGAACTCAATTCAGACAAGGATTAAAAGTCGAGAACGGTACTCTTAATTCTCTAATGATGTAATGAAACGTCAAAGCTTCCGCGCTTCGCGCGGGAGGGGGTATGGAAACTGAATTCAGACAATGATTAAGAATCGAGAACGGTACAACGAATCGTCTTCTTTCTCTAATAATCTAATGAAACGTTAAGCTTCTGCGCTTTGCGCTGGAGGGGGGAATCTGAATTCAGGGAAGGATTGAGGGTCGAGAATGGAACAACGAATTATCTTCTTTCTCTAATAATTTCATTAAAGGGAAAGTCCACCCCCAAAATAAGTTTGTTTCGATAGAGGCAGAATAATAAGAAAATCAGGTGAGTGAAATTTTGAGCAAATTCTGAATGAAAATAAGAAAGTTATGAATTATTGAAGTTGTGATCAATCAAATACAAATTGGCAACTCTGTGACTTATTATACGAGCTCTCCTTCATTTGCTTTGTGCATTATATTCCATAAAATCATGTTTTCTTCGTTATTGATGATGGAATATATATTTGTTCCTTGCAGGGGGAGTATATAGAAACATATTTGCAATTATTATATTTAGGGTGCATGTATGGTTGAAATTTTTCTTGAGGGAAAATGAAAATTTTAGATTTTTTTAGTACTGAGCAAATGGAAGTTGAGCTCGCATGATACGTCATAGAGTTGCCAATTTGTGTTTGATTGATCACAACTTCAAAAATTCTAACTTCCTTATTTTTAATCGGAATTTGCTCAAACTTTCACTGACTGTTTCTCTCATTTTTCTACTCCTATTAAAACTAACATAATTTCAGGGTGGACTTCCCCTTTAAACTATGAAGGGTCAATGCTTCAGCGCTTCGCGCGGGAGGGGGAAAACTGAATTCAGACAAGGAATAAGTGTCGAAAATGGTACAACAAATCGTCTTCTTTCTGTAATATCAATTAATGAAAGGTCAGAACTTCCGCGCTTCGCGCGGGAGGGGGGGGGGGGGGAGCAAGGGGAGGAACTAAATTCAGACAAGGATTAGGAGTCGAGAACGGTACAACGAATCCTCTTCTTTCCCTAATAATTTGCCCGAATCTTTTCTCGTATATTTTGGTGATAAATAACACTTTCACAAAATACATATTATCCTAAATTTTTTGCTCGCTCGTTTCGCTCACTAGCCGAACTGTGAAACCAGAAAATTACTTTTTCAGGCAAGAGGCTTCAGCCCCCCCCCCCCCGATGAAAATGTCAAAAAAATTACCGGTATGGTGCTTCTAATATACTGTAAAAAAGAATTTGTTCATTGGTAATTTTTACGTATTTTTTCCATGTAGAATTTACTTGAAAACATTAGTTTTGCCACTTACGCACTAAATTTAAGTCTTGCTAACTCAAACTTTCAATTTAGTAGAACATACGTGGAATATTTAAGTAAAATCAAATACATAAGAACTTTAAGTAATTTCAGCTTGTATTAATTTAGTAATTTTAACTCAAAATCAGAAATTATACGTATTACTCAAACAATTTATGTTGATTATTCTTATCTTTTTAAAGTAAGGACCGATGCAGTGCGTAATAGAAATATTTACATAATTTATGAATATTCATTAAGACCAAATTAAACTCTTTTTTAAATAAAACAATTCTTTTTTGTGGTTGAATGAAAATTTAAGGACTTTAAAACATTTACTAATTCATTTAACATGGCTAAGCAAAGACAAGACAATTTTTAATTGTTACCCAGTTCAAAACCAATCAAAACTTGATGTTTCAGGAAATTGTCAACCAATTTTCCTTTTAAGATGCTACAATCAAGTATATATAAAATTTGGAGCCTTTCAATATGTGTCGAATTGAAGCGTATGTAATAGTTAAATCTTAAATAGAAGTAGTGAATGATAAGTGGATTTTACTTGGTAGATTAGATGGGTACCAAATCGTGCAATATGTTATCCTATCATAGCTTTTTTTAAATTATCTTAAATGATTACAATACTTAAATTATTAACGTTAATGTAACTCGATTTAACTGAGTAAAAATTTATTCAGCAAAATAAGTAAATTCTACTTAAGATGCCGTAGGTAATATTTATTTAATAAAAATAAGGCAATTCTTTTCCTCAATTTTATTGAGTTATTTCGACTATTATTTGTTTACAGTGTATGACCTTGTCAGTATTGGTATGTTGAGTTGAAAAACGGTCTGCGCAATTTTCAAATTTCCGCCCCCCCCCCCCCCCTACTGGAAAATCCTGGATCCGCGCCTGCAACACACATGATGATGCTGTGTGTTGAGACTGACAGTGAAAGAGAGAGGAAGAGAGAGAGAGAGAGAGAGAGAGGGGGGGGGGGAGAGAGAGGGAGAGGGAGAGAGGGAAAAAAGGGCAATTTCGTTGTTAAAAGTATGGATGAAATATGAAGCAATATCAATTTAATTCTGGCCAATATAGCAGGAATATAGGCTAAAGAATACTCTTCTAATATAGCTGTTTCATTTTGATCGGTGGATAAACAAATATTAAAATCCTCAGTTTGGGCATGCCTGCGATTGCGGTGCAGGGCATAAGGGGAAAAATTAATTGCTGCGCAAATGAATCACTGTGGCAGCAAATCGATTCAATTTTATTTACACTCGAGGCCCTAAATTTATTTTCTAAAGGTAAAAAATTTAGGCCTCCCCCAATCTCTTTCTCACTAGTTTTAGCTCCTGTGCGCCTGCCCCCCCCCCCGCCTATCTACCCTGGCCTGGTTAGATGTAGACCGAATTTTCCGTCTCTTTCGTTCGTTAAGCCTCTTATTTGGGTAGGGTCGGATCTACCGAAATAAGAGGCACAGGGTCGGCGCCCGACCCATACACAAATAAGAGGCTTAACGAACGAAAGAGACGGAAAATTCGGTCTAGGATAGATGATGACACATTTAGAACTCCATCGCAGGAATAGTTTCACGGGTTAGCCCTCTGTATATATTTCAATATTTTAGATGTATTTAAATATAATTTACGAACAAAGTCATGAATGAAACGGGGGAAAAATAGATAAAAAATAAAGTTCATAGTGCGCAATCTGGAAGATACCATACTGCATGCTGTCATCAGAAGTTAGCTAGATTTAGTGTACGAAGTCATCATAGAGATATCTAGTCCGCTATCTTCCATTCAGAGCGCGCCATTTGAAGTTGAGAGAATCAAGTTCTGGAGCTACAAAACTGGTAATAAAGCCTAATTAAGAGAGGACGTCGTCGAACCGAACATCAATTTGTCAAGTTACAACCGACAGGCTAGCACAAGTACAGGTATTGTATATAACAGTTAGACCCTAAACCTGTTATATCTAACTCCTCATCCTTGGATTTGATCGTCAGCGATCCGCCCGGCTGGGCCCGGTCTCAGGACCCCTCGGCTTCGGGCTGAGCTGCGGGAGCGGGAGGTCTACCTCTACTCTAGTAGGGTGTCTAATCGCGCACTAGACAGAAATAACCATCTGATTTGGGTCATTTCTTTGATAAAACTGACATGTGTTGACATTCCCCAATACAGATGGTAACCCAGATATCTCGTACCGTGGGGGTAGCTAGAGCCAACAATGTACATCTTTTCGTTCAAAACATTTTCTCCCCGATTTTCGATTTTCTATTTGGATCTAGACTTTTCTGATTTCTAAATCAGATGTAAATTAGGTCAGTATGTCATCTATATTACTAATATGCAAAATCGCAGCGGGGGGTCCAAAACGGTTCCTCAAAAAACGTCTTTCCCCGACCCCGCTCGCCTCCGCCGTGGCGCGGGAACGGTGACACAATTCCACGAGGCATGTCTCCCGCAACCCGCGTGCCATGTCGACCTCGCGATCGACGTCCATGCCGTTAAACGTGGTATTCGAGGTTCCGGGGAGGACGGGCGGACGAAAGCACGGCGGGCGTCGGGGATTGCAAGGAGGCGACGAACCCGCGAGAGCGAGTTGACAAGGCGTGCTCCCGCCCTTTGTCTAATTATCAAAGAGAGACGAAGAGACACACAATAGACGAGAATCCACTCGCGTCAACGGGTGTAGCAACTATCTGTGATAGTACGCCTAATCAATCATTGCACACAGAGCATACAGGATTTCAAATGCCTTCCGGCGCCCAACTCAGGCGGGTCATCACGGCGCTCAAGCCATCGTTTTACGCTGCGCCGCAGTTACTGCACTACACTGTATAGATTCGATTTCCGTATGTTTGATTTCGTTTAGCGTTGGTTATTTGAAACTTTTGAACTCCGAAAGAATATGTTAAATAGACTCTTGATGTTGGATTTCTTTTCTACTGACCTGTTAATGAAAGCATGAGGGATAAACAAAACAAAATAAGGACTGCTCTGTAATCGGATGGTGGTGGAAATTATCACTCCCTCGATTTTGTTCAAATACTGGCCCTTCTATCACCCCCTCGGCTTTGCCTCGGGTGATAGAAGGACCGGTATGAACACCACCTTGGGAATGATAATTTCATCCTCATGAGCAGTCAATATTTGTGTATTTTCACTGAGACCTCCGGGACCTCTCTGAAGTATGATCCATGCAAAATATCATTTTGTTGATCATTTTGTTTAATAGAACATGTAGTTGTAATAATGTATGTTAAGCCAAATTAAACAATTGTTACTCATGTTTTGATTAATTGGAACAAGTTCTAATTAGAGATGAGTGAAAATATGAAAAATGAAAATGGGAGGATTGAGAACAGTATTCGTAAGAAACTGGACGGGAAAGGAATAATGGGAATAAGGATGGGAATGAATGAAAAACAATAATCATAAATAATGAAAGTGAAAACGAAAGTTAAAGCGTAAAATAGTTTGCATCAGTTTATTTACAAATTACTAATTTCATTTTTTCTTTTAATCTTCAAGTTTTATTATATGTTACAAATAAAAAAAAACATTTCAAAATGATATATGAAACAGCAAACAAAAGGTTGATATTCTATCGAATTAAATATTAATAACAAGAGTAGAAAAAGAATAAAAGGATAAAAAGTAGGCCTATACCAAGAGGGACAATGAAATTGAAATTAAAAGGGGGAAAAAACACAGAAAAACAAACATGAATAATAAAAATAGATCATCTAACATGAAAATTGAAAAAAATCGATAGCACATCATAAATACAACCACCCACCCCTTAGAATCCCGTGGATTTTCCACGGGTCCTCCTAGTTTGTCCTAATTGCAGTTATCAAAATTTGATAACTTAAATATTAAATGTATAATTTACGGACTTACTTATATGAATTATCCAATTTGTATCTCAGAACTGTGAAACAGTACGTACATGCACGTACTCGAACATAGGGTTATATGACCCGGCGGCCAAAATATTTCCGGGTCAACCTACCAACACATAGCCAAATGGCCAATCAGAGCACTTGTTTCGTGGGAGTTCGTTGGTCAAGCCGGGCTGACTCGTACGTAGCTACGGTAGCTATTGGACGTTTGGACTACTATTGGACGACGAGACTTTCTCGAATTAATCATTAATTTAGGATCTAAATGAGCTATGAGGATGTAAAGAGTGAAAATCTCGTTGCATATCTCATTCATCGCGGTCCGGTCGAACCGAACCATTTGTTCCGTACAGTCCCGTACAGTCCCGATAGGCCATACTTTAGTCTCTATAATCGGAGGTCTAGTGGAGCCAGACGTAGTCTCAGTGGAACAACCGACGACTAGAGAGACTGAAGTTTTCGGTCTAATCGCGCACCAGGTTTTGTGTGCTAAAACCCTTCCCATAGACATGACATAGCACTCATCCCTAGATCTATGCAGTCTATGTGCATTGCAAAATTGGTCAACGTTTAAAAAAAAAAAATTTAGATTCAAACCTTTATCTGTTGTGATTCTGAAGGTAATAGTAGGGTGTCTGATCGCACACCCGATGTTGTGTACTAAAATTCTTCCCATAGAGATTACACGCATCCCTATGCAGTCTACGTGCATTGTGCGACCATGCAAAAAAAAGTCAATTTTTTTTTTTCAATTCGAGATTCAAACCTTTATCTGTTGTGATCCTGAAGGTGATACTCAATAAATGAGGTGTCATATGAAAGAGCAGGTGAATTCCAATATTTCCAAAGAGGCGTAGCCCCCGAAATTCTAAAATTATCTTGGTCAAAACAGCAATTTAAACATTGTGTCCTGGCTAACTCTGAGGTTTGTCACTTTTGAGATATGACGCCCCGATCGATAAGTAGTCCCAGTCCTAAGGAACAATTCTATGTGCTTATATTTTCGCTAGCCCCCAGGGATCACAACTGATAACAGTTTAAAAATACCCTTCTTGCTATTTGGTGGATCAGCTAATTAGGGGGCGTGCGCTCCGCTCAGTCCAAACCATGGTTACATCGCGTAACGTCTCCGCGTACAAACGAAACCCCAAATTCAATTACACATTATAGTGAAAGAAAGTATGGGTGGCCATTCGCGCCATAGAACCCGGAAGTGAATACACGTAATAGTCAATGGCAATATCGCGGAGACAACGTGCGTTGTCTCCGCGATATTGCCATTGACTACAACGTGTATTCACTTCCGGGTTCTATGGCGCGAACGGCCACCCATACTAGTCAATGGCACATATCGCGGAGACAGCGTGGCTCAAGCTGCAAGTCGCGCATTGGCTTAGTGTCGTAATACGGAGTTAGTAAGGCACCATGCATGCAGCTTGAATGTGAAGGGTGGGTGATGAGCCCATTTATTTGTAAACAGCAATATACATCAGCATGAAGAAAACCCTGCAAATCAATCAGATGTGCCAAACATAAATACAAGACAAGTATAGATTCTTATCAACATATATCTGATACATAGTATACAACAATGTGGGCGAGGTAAACAGACAGTAAATTATCACGCCGTTGGTTTACATCATTACATAAACTGGCATTAATGTATTCTACATCAATGATAATATAATAATTAATTAAATTAACACATATTATATGAAATTACATATTCAAAATACATTAATAAACAACATTATACCAATTAAACAATGTGTGTATTAAATCATATCCTACCCAAGGTCTCTGAAGCAACAAGCCGGAGCAGCTCCCGGCTCCCAAAAGACAACACAGTCCCAGCTAGACCACACTACAGCTTCCAGCAAACCTCGCTAGCATGTCGTCTATAACAAATCATTAAAACATCCTTATAGTATACTAATAACATATTATATAAAGTAACTCATCAATTAAATTATCATACAAAGATTCCATGGGCGCCGCCATCTTTATCACAATATTAACATCATACGCCCTCAACGGCGAAATCATTACAATCAATAATTCACGCACTAAATACAGGTAGGCGTTAACCACTAACCATTTAAAAGACAATTTATCTAAACATCATATAGAATAAATGTAATAACATTTATTTAAACGATCAATTGATTTACTGGATACAATATCCCTATGAAGACATACTATTCTGACTAACGGAAGTTGTCAAGTACAAAATCAAATACATTCTCCTTCCAAAATAATCCTTATTTTCCTCTCCTGAAGGACATGAAAACATTTCATAGACACGTATCAAAGCTTACAATCTTTACTATCAAAGTGACATTTAAAGAAAACAACTTACTTCTTTCAAAGGTGTAAAAACGTAACAAGGGCGTTGCACACTAATATACGGCCCGACACACGCACAACCTCCTTCGCCCATGACAAGATGCAATGTGTGCCTACGTATCTGCTATGTCAGGCATTTGTCGTAATACGGAGTAAGTAAGGCACCATGCATGCAGCTTGAATGTGAAGGGTGGGTGATGAGCCCATTTATTTGTGAACAGCAATATACATCAGCATGAAGAAAACCCTGCAAATCAATCAGATGTGCCAAACATAAATACAAGACAAGTATAGATTCTTATCAACATATATCTGATACATAGTATACAACAATGTGGGCGAGGTAAACAGACAATAAATTATCACACTGTTGGTTTACACTGTATTACATAAACTGTGACATCATGCATCAATGATAATATAATAATAAAGACAATATCATTGTCTTTAATTAGCACATATTATATAAAAGTACATATTCAAAATGCATCAATAAACAACATTACACCAATTAAACAATGTATATATATTAAATCATATCCTACCCAAGGTCTCTGAGATACAAGCCGGAGCAGCTCCCGGCTCCCAAAAGACAACACAGTCCCAGCTAGACCACACTAATACAGCTCCCAGCAACCTCGCTAGCATGTCATTTCTTTCAAAGGTGTAAAAACGTAACAAGGGCGTTGCACACTAACGGCCTATACGGCCCGACACACGCACAACCTCCTTCGCCCATGACAAGATGCAATGTGTGCCTACGTATCTGCTATGTCAGGCAGATTCCCGCGCCCACATATAAAGACCTATCACAATTCTATAAACAAAATATCCTTCCTCTTTTTGCTATTCTTGTACAAACACCTTTTGAATGAAGTAAAAATTAGTTATTACACATTATAAGCAATCTTATTCCTTTTTTACATAGACTCACAATATATCAATTCTTCCTCAAGATAACAAAACAAACTTATAAATCGAGGAACTACATTTCATTCACCATATTTTTAAACGGCAGTTTTATGCAAATTATATACAAAGTCATTTGCATAAGAAAAACATGTATAAATCCAATTTCCCACATTAGCAACATGCGTACTATTTGCATACGCTTGCATATCGCGCGATACAGCTGTTTGTCTGAATTTAGCAAAACAACATCACTCTGCGTGGACGTCTTTTTCGTCGATTTGACCAAAATGATATGAATATACCAGCGTTTTGGAGGGGCTGTAACTTTTGATAGAAACATCGGTGAGACTTGAAATTTGAAATGTATTATTCTGATAACATTTTTTATTCAAATATCAAACAAAAATGGTGAAAAACGATCCCAAATTGAAAATTGAAAAATCGTTCAGACACCCTAGTAATAGTAGGGAGGCCAATGCCCAAATCTAACTTTTTAATTACTAATTTGTTTATAATAAAACAAAAGATTAAAAGAAAGCATTTTCTTTCACTAAGACAATATAGTGACGGGATATTGATCTTACTGGGCCTGCTGTTTAACTACGAAATACTATAAACTACTATAATAAGGTTTAGATCCTACCATAGGCTGTAGAACTAACTGGTACTTGAAGTCTCGATGTAGCACTGATGTGTGGAGCTCCACTAGACGCTACGTAGACTCGAAATTCAGTGAGAAGGGCAATCGGCGGGTGTTGCACGCTTGCTGTCTCAGTTCAAATCTGGCATACCCAGTATGGGGTATAACCAGGAAAACTATCTGCGAGTGCCGCCGAATGCGATACTCGTGCATATATGGGCTGAATCACTACATTATTCCCCACTTAATGAGTTTGAAGCCTACTTCTAACTTAAACTAAACTAAAACTAACTTAAAACTACTCCCATACCGCAGTGCGGGGTCACGCCGTTCCTGCTGTTGGATGGGTCAAGGACCCTCCTTGCCAGCACCAGTGAAGTCTTGGCCTTTCCAGAGGGCGGGCGCCTTTATCATACCTTAATAAGTACCGGAGCTCCAGATCCTTGGCTTAGGATTTTGCATGAACGCGCAATGCATGTGACGTAGACTGCATAGGGATGCATGAAATCTATGGGAAGGGTTTTACCACACAAAACAGAGTGCGCGATCAGACACCCTATTACATGTACATTCTATATTTGTGGGAAGTCCCAAGAGATCCTTTAAGTTTTAAGTCATTTTGAACTAGACTAGTAACAGCAGGTGGATTATCTACATGTACTGTACATACTATTTTTTTCTCACCAATCTATTCTAGGTAATGGACGCTTCAGCTTCATCAAAGCAAAGGACTGAAGATGAGAAGGATGCATCTAGTAGTAGTATCACGAAGAAGGTCATGGGAGATTCACTACATGAATATGAAACGCAGTACTTTGGATTCACACCAAAATCATTCATAGATGGAGGTGAGTCTTTCTTCTCTCTCTCTCTCTCTCTCTCTCTCTCTCTCTCCTTGTCCCTATCCCCTTTCCTCATGCCCCCACCCTCTCTCTTCCTGTCTACTTCCCCCTTTCTCTTGTTTCCTCCTCCTCTCTCTCTCTCTCTCTCTCTCTCTCTTTGTTTCTTCTCTCTTCTCTCTCTCTCCCTCTCTCTCTCTTCTCTCGTTCACTCACTCCCTTTCTCCCTTCCCTTTCCTCTTGTTTCCCCTTTCTCTCTTTTGTCTGTCTGTCTGTCTGTCTCTCTCTATCGCTGCCTCTACTATGCGGTGAGGGTATATTTGTTTACTCCTGTATCTGTTATGTTGAGTCCGTCTCATCAATTGATTATATTTTCAACAAAGCGATATAACCTTGATATCGAATTGCACTGGGTGAATGGGTGCGAGCAAAAATCAGAGAACCAGATTACCCCTTCCAAAAACAAACAAAAACTGAGATTCGTTCAGTCATTTTGATTGTAAAGAATTAGGGAAAGTAATTTTAGTGACATTTTAAAATGTAATATCTGATTCCCCATAATTTTGGAAGTGAGCTACTGTATGCACTCTGCCATATCAAGCAATCTCTCATATGATAATTGATATCCTGTCATTCCGTGCTGTCGCATTCTATTTCTTCATCTTATCTTGAATAATGTTATTGGTATCTATGTATGTATGTTTATGTACATGTATGCATGTATATGTCCAGCTCTCACAGCAATAGAAAGCCACAAGGGTGGGCAAAATTATGTCTTAGTTGGAAGAGGCGGTAGATGTTTTTTCATTTTCTTTTATTTAAAAGCCATCTTCAAAACCGGTTGCATGTACATTTATCCTTGAAAAAGTAATGTAATATATATTCTTTTTTTTTAGTAAATAAAGAATAAAGAACTTGATATAAATCCATAAGAAAGTTTGATCATTGGGGGATTCATCATTCTTGAAAGTATGACACTGGAATGACATATAACATGCAATTTGAATACCTAGTGGTTATTACAAAGGTTTTGATTTGTCCCCATACAGTGTACAATGCTGTAGCCGACTACCTGTATGACAGTGTTGATGCTGCAGACAAATATATAGCAACAGAGGTAAGCATGGTTGATATTGTGAATTTCATTAGAGGAATATATCGAGGGGTCAGTGACACAAAGACGTAACTCCATTTTGGCCATTAAGAAAAAGTGGTTTATGTGTCACTGAGCACTTCGGCCTTAAGGAGTTAAGTCTATGTTTCACTAGCCATTGACTTCAATGGGGTGTTGGGTGGAGTTAAGTCTTTGTGTTTCCTGGAAAGGCCACATTTTTCTGAACATTTTGATATCAAATACTCATTTTGGCAAAATATGGAGTTACGTCTTTGTGTCACTGAACCCTTGATGTGAGTTAATACTCCTTGATGGTGAAAGTCAGAAGCTAATTCCAATTAATTCCTCAGTTTTCTTATTTGTGGGTACAACAGTTATTCATTTCAGAATTATAATTGATCCAATACAAATTAGCAACTCAGTGACGTACCTTGTGACGGCTCCTCTTCCATTTGCTATGTATTGGAAATTCTTATGGTTTTTGATCTATTTAATAGAGGGGAAGATTTGTGATATTTTTGTTCCTTTGTAATTTTCTCTGCAGGCTCAGCAAGGGAGGCAACCTGTATGTACAGAGGCAGTTAGACAGGTATGAAAGTGTCTCTTATTTAAAGCCAATATTTTTATGTAAAGATGTAGAGGTGTCGTGGTCTAGTCGATGTCTAATGTCCTTTGGCAAGACATTAATCTACATTTGTTACACTCCACCCAGATGAGGTAAATAGGTGCCCGGTAGGAAGAAATTCTTGGAATGCTTGAGCGCCTTTTCATGGTAGCTCGGCTAAAGCCGGCATAATTATGATTGCAGAGCCCTTAAGGAGAACAGTATTGATAGGCCTACTGATGACGCTACCCTGGGTAAACAACACATATAATTACCGGTATATAGATATGTTCACCGATCAAGGGCTCAAGGATAGATTTATGAATTGTTAAATTTGCGTATAGGCCACACTAGCACTACCAATTATATAGTATTCAATAATTATCATTCTACTTCCGGGGATCACGACTCATTACTGATTAACACCAAGGAGTTACTCTTTGGAATCAAAATCATCATAATATAAGAATTTCTTTGGGAAGTGACGGCTCGTGTTATAGTGTAGAGACACCTTTTGTGACTTATGACAGGGCTTACTTAAGTGATTGCGATGCACAACATTAGATACTGGAAATATTTTTGCTTGTAGTTAAATTTGTGAAAATAAAAACCCTGTAAAAATAACCAGCTTACTTTAGTGATTGCGACCTGCGACAGTAGATGCTGGAAATATCTTTGCTTGTAGTTAAATTCGCTAAAAATAACTGCTTATTCAGTATGCAATTGGGAAATAAGAGTATTTGTGAGGAAAAGGCTGGGCTTTTCATTTCTTTTTTGACAAGTTCACATCTAAATCTGATGAATAAGCAGCTGTGCAACAATTAATTTTGATTTGATACAACTACTATCTATGTGTAATTGTGTATCCATGTGCATCTTTTCTCTACGCACATAACAAACTACATGCAATATGGAGAATGGACTTGTCATTAGGATTCCTGTTGATCTTCATTTTGTCTCATTGTTGCAAACATTTGTTTTTCTTCCAGTCTTCAGACAGGTTACTAGCCCATCTACAGCTTGCCTTTGATAAGGCATTTGACAGACTGGAGACATACCTCATTAAGAACATCTTCCCTATCCCATCTCATGTTGTCTTACCCGAAGACAAGGTAACCAGTCACCTCACAGGTCAAATGTCATAGGTCAGGGATAGAAAGAAGTATTAAGGAGTATCTAGGCACTTGATTGGCCAATTGCATATCACCTGATATTGCATGCTTCTCCGATTGATGGATAAAGCAAGATTACATTTGTATTATATTCATTTGTGTATGAAGTCAACTGTGTCGGGGTTGGGGATCTTGGGCAGTAACACATTTTTAAAGTGGATTTTTTTCTTTTTTCTTCTATATATCATTATATCAACAGTTTTCAAGAGTTTCAAAATATGGAGAGTCATGCTTTGACAGTGCAGTCATGTGCATGCATGGGGGATATCATCATGTCAAACAACTCCAATTTGTTTTAAAACCAATTATTAACAATCCCAATTCTTAAAAGTTTTCCTGTCAAATCAATCATTTGTGACATTGAAATTTATTAATTGCATTAAAATTAGTTTGAATGTTGACCTCAAACAGATTTGGTTGGTCCACATTAAGTATCTGAAAATTCATATTTGTGCATTCAAAGTTCAGACATCAGAGATCAAGATAATTGACACCGGAGATCAAATGTCAGAGGTCATTGGTAGAGGTCATTAGTAGAATGTTTTATTTACCAATTACATACTCCTGTTGACATCTTTGGTCTGATTTTAGTATGCCTTGTGCTTAAAAAAAATGATGAAATCATTGCAGTATTGAGATTTATTAGGCATCATTTGCCATTGAAGTTATTTTTTTCTTTCTATTTGGCTCTTCTTCTTTTTTTATAGATTCATGGGGAAGTGATATTGATGGAATCAGATGAAACAAGACTGGATTCAGAGCTTGAGGAGTTGAGACACAGAATACGCAATGTAAGACGTTTTTCTTCTTCATATTATGGTAGTATGTACGCTCGTGAGAACCAACTTTAGATTTTTGTCATTTTGGCACTCAGTTTTCAACAGCAAATCATGTAAACAAATAAGCTTAGATATACCAGCTTTGGTGAAAATAAGGAACTCAACTTCTCTTGTTATTCGATCTTCTCCAATGCATAATTTCACCAAGGATATTGATGGTTATATGAGTGATGGGAATTAGGGGATATCCCTTTGACCCCCAAAGCTACAGTCAGGTTCTGTGATTTGAGTTTTGACAGAAAAATGCTATTATTTTTTTTAGCTTAATATCTTGTTCGTAAGTAAAGTAATGATCAAATGAGAGGTAAAGATCAGCTTAATTCCCTGGTCATGATCTAAATTGTATTTTCATTTCATTTGGACTCTTTTCATAAATGTACATGGTTTTGAAAGTCATGTTTAGCTCATGGTGTTTAATACATGTTTTTTTATGTTACACTGTTATAACACAGCTGCCATCTACTTCTATTTTGAAGCAATTGTTCTTATTGTTAACCTTCAAACTACTGATTTGAACCCTGGATTATTTTTTTTCTTTTCTGAAGACTTCTGACTGACTATGCACATAAAAAAGAACATTGTATTATAACACAGCTGCCATCTACTTCTATTTTGAAGCAATTGTTCTTATTGTTAACCTTCAAACTACTGATTTGAACCCTGGATTATTTTGTTTTTCTTTTCTGAAGACTTCTGACTGACTATGCACATAAAAAAGAACATTGTATTATAACACAGCTGCCATCTACTTCTATTTTGAAGCAATTGTTCTTATTGTTAACCTTCAAACTACTGATTTGAACCCTGGATTATTTTGTTTTTCTTTTCTGAAGACTTCTGACTGACTATGCACATAAAAAAGAACATTGTATTCTGAAGTTGCCTTGTGAGATTCCTAGTTTTTGCTGTGGAATGTTGTCAGTTTTGCTTTAGTCTTAACTGTCTTTTTATTTTCCAGGCACAATATGTGAATGCTAGACTTGAGCAATGGTCCAATGATGTGAAACAGATTCAAAACCTCCTAGATGATTTACTCACTCAATTGGAAAACTACCAGAAAATCTGCATACAGGCAAACGGTAAATATATCTTTTCTTAAATTGTACTGCGTAAAATAAATTACTGTGCACATTTAAAACTTACGTACTCACATGAAAAGATGATAATGAACTTATATTTGTGTGGACTCTATTGTTTTTTTAATGATTTTTTTATGCTATTAATAATTAACTATTTTATGTTTCTGTGCTTTTCATTTTCTATGTTTGTACATATACAAGATATGCACTTGCAATGTTAGTCAAAATGTTAGGAATACATCCTTTTGTTGATACGATACCTTGGGATTCAGAAGAAAAAAATATTTGTAACTTTGGCTCAAGGTTGTATACATATTGTTGCCTACGGAAAAAATGTATTAAAGAAAATTGCATGGAGTTAATATTATGATGGATAAACACACACACATATATATCTTCTTCATTTAATGTAATAATAGTGGCTGATCTGAAAGAGTCAATTGTATTCATGGCAACTAGAGCAGAGAAGCTGCTTGATCTGTCGAGGACATTACATCTTAACAGCACAAGGGTAAGTTACCTGGGCATTGTTTCACAAAACTGTCATAAGTACAAGTTTATTGACATCCCATTGAAATGCGTGTTGAATTCAATACATTCGTTTTCAATGGGTTGTTAGTGAACTTGTGCACATGATATTTTCTTGTTTTTATATATTGCCTTGTATGCATCTTGTCAATTAAAATTTTGCTGTTGATTTTTATGCTGCTAGTAAAATGAAATATGAATAAATGATATGTGGGGCAGATCAGATCTTATTTAAACATATTTGTGGCTTACACCCAGTAAATAAGATTGATTGATTGATCTCATTTACTGGGTGTAAGCCACAAATATGTTTAAATAATTGAAATTTCTCCCAGGAAGCATTACATTTATAAAAGATCAGATCTTGTTTCACATGGAATGCACAAATATTTGTTATTTAATGTTCTGATAGCTAGTCGTGACTTTTCAACTACCGGTAAGTTTTAAACTTTGTATTAAATGTGATATTATTTTTTGAGGTTTGTACTTATGCAGCTCTTGGAGAATTCCCAGATTGGAAATATAAACTGTTGAAAAGACCTCCCATATCATCATATCATTTTTGTTTTTGTCATTCCAGAAAAGAGGTTTAGAAAATAACGATGATGCAAGCATTCCTGTCAAGATGAGTCTTCGGAGTGGATCGACCTGAATGGTATTGTCATTCTTATCTTTAAATAGCATGTTGGGAGGAATAATAAACCTATCACAATCTTGTTTGTGCCAAGAGTTTGCATGTTTGTTATCACCTCTTTGACTCATACTCTTGCTGTAGATGTGACAGGATGGTTAATATTTACTTCCAGATTGAACTATGACAAAGGAGCTTGGCTGGAATGTTCAAAGAATACTATCATTGAACAGATTGAATGTTGGCTGAATAGCTTAATACTTCTCGTTGTTTGGCTTGCTACACCAATTTAGTGGAACAATTTTGAACTATCAATATTATCGCCATCAAGATTTTATATCATTCTATAAAGAGTAATTATGGAGAGAACATCAACTTTGGATGTAGCTGTATTTCATCCTCTTATTTGCAAGATGTTTTTCTGCTGCAGTAGGGGCATCATCTTCATATCTTTTCTAAAGAAAACTATGATTCATGATCGAGTGAACTACACATGATGTATTATAGGCTGGACATTATCATTTTATTCTACAGTACACTCACCTCCAAAATTCAGAACTCCTCTATAATATTTCAAGTTATATTTAAGTTTCTGCCTGATGAAATGTAATTGGACTTTAGAAATCTGAATTTGTTTGTGGATATACATGTATTTGTTTTACTGAAATCTGTAGCATGCAGTTGAAATTTAGTGTATATAAACTATCGTCCTAACCCCTGGGTAATAGTTGTAGAGCATCAGATGTGTCAAGTCTGACCGACATGAGCGCTATACAAGAACCCACTGTTGTTAGTATTATAATGGTTAAAGTAACTGCCAGGGGGGGGGGGGGGGAAGAGAAAGTTTATTGATGTATTGATAGAAAGGGGACAGATCAAGAGCAATATATGAAGTCAATGCACCGTACATGCATACATCACTTAAAGGGATCGTTTAACATTGTTAAATCTGAGATACACGGCCCTACTAGTTATTAGTGTCTGTGATATGGTGTAATATTGAAGCCCTAACAAAATCGCGCTTCAAAATGATCAAGAAGTGCGTCAAAAAAGTAAAAAATCTTTGAGTGACCGGTTTTACCATACTCGTTTTCCCCAATAGACTGTAGTGTTATGAAAACCGTCAGGCGAACGGTTTTCAAAATTTGTAATTCCAATCATAAATATCTTGATAATCAGACAGGCGATCGGCTTGTAAAAGTCATGGGGTTCCTGACTGACCTAAAGGTTAATAATTATCATTGCATCATGAGCTAAATCCAGAATTTTGTTTCAGAATCTGAGACAAAGTTACCGGATCCCTTTAAAGGCACTTAGCCAAATTTATTCCTTTCAAATCATTACCGGTAGGCAGTTCTCACTGTCCAAACTATTATCATTCATAACCATATGGAATTCTATGGTTTCTTCATAACACTGTTAAATGCTAGCCCATTGACTACTGAATAGTCATATCCCCAGTGGGTTTAATACAGGAATCACTCAGTTATAGCAGGCAGTGAGTTAATTGAATGTGTTGCTCTTAATATTCTGTTGGTATAATTGGAAGTGTGATTTGAAGTTTAATTCAATTTTCTTTATCTGTCAGAATTTTTTCTTCTTCAGGAAGTCGTATGAAAAAATAAACAGTAGAGACTGTGATTTAGCTGCATAATATATTTCAAAGTATTTTATTATCACATTTTATTCTACTCAAAAAACTATATTGCAATTATGTTCTAATTTGAATAATAAAAAGCCCCTTTGTACATGCAATTTAAACTATTCAACCAGTTATACCCTAATACATCATTTGAATAAGAAAGATGGAGACAGAGAAAGTGAGAGAGAGAGAAAAAGAGAGGGGGGGGGGGGAGGGGGAGGTAGATAGATGTATAAAGATACATGTAGATAGATAGACAAATAGAGACAGAGAGAGGGAGAGATGAAAGAATGAAGTTATATTATCTCATGTTACATGTATATACATTGTATAAACCACTATCTTTACCAAGCTAAAAATGTGAGAGAAAAACAAAGGGAGATATTTTATGTCATACATGTATAAACTGTTGAAAACTGAACATATCCATATTCAAACCCATATAAAAATGTCCTCAACAACTAATCAGAATTTGATGAAGATTAAGATTCATCCAGTATTGTCAAAATTATAGCAAAGTGTAAATCAGTTACAAGAAGTGCAATGTATAGTTCAACTTACTTCTCTGCGATGTTTCTTCAGTTCCTACAATAGTTCAACTTACGTCCAGTAACTGATTAGGAACTAGTGAAACATCTCAGAGTTGAACTATACATTGTACTTTCGGTAAATGATTTATAATTCAATATAATAACTAATTGTAGTGTGTATGGTACAAAAGTAAAATTTAAAATGCTAAGCCATCAGGACTAACATAAAAAATAAAATAAAACAGAGGTATTAATACGAAGTATTCTACTTTCATTATGATTGAATAATCAAGTTTAATTTGATAAAATTGATAACACTTAACCATCAAGACTTACATAAAAATGAAATAAAAAATAGGTATGAATATGAACATTATTACTTCCATTATAGTTGAGTAATCATAAGTTTAATTTGATAAAGTTGATTATGCTAAGCCATCAAGACTTACCTGTATATTAAAAATTAAATAAAACAGAGGTACGTGTATTAATATGAACATTTTTACTTCCATTATAATTGAATAATAATATTTTTGATTTTATAAAATTGATAACGCTAAGCCATCAAGTATTCCATATAAACATGAAATAAAACAGAGGTATTAATGCTTCCATTATAATTGAATAATCACAAGTTCATCTTTTATGAGAAATATTAGCTTTGCATGTTGATCATTGTGTTTTATGTGTGAACCATATCTAGCCTAGCCTGTGAGGGGATTGTTTAGCCTTGGCCTTGGAGCAATGAAACTCTCCTTTGCTTACAGAATTCTGATATGAGTATCATGTAAAAACATTATAAATGATGAAATATATATACAGCAGCAGGTCTTATTTGAGTACATTAGCTATAGACAAGAGCTCGATCAAAATGTATCCATCGGGCAAATTTGCCATTTGTATTATGAATTGTACAATAACTTAACATTTAAAGTATTCAAACGTTGAATCAGTAACATAGGCCAAATTGTAGCCAAGAAAACAAGGATATTAAAGTGAAATATTTCTAGGGAAAGGAAATTTTCAAGAAGCAAATCTAGTACACGTATATTCCATGTGATGTAGTTTACTTTTCTGAATAAGTTATAGCCAGATATTTACTGTACTAAAATTGAGAGAAAGTGTATATTAAATGTTTCTTCTAATGGCACTCCGGGTTGATTTGTTTTTGTGTGTGAAAGTGATTGACAAAGTCTTTCTTAAAAGATTAAAAAGGTTTGTTTAAGATTCATCTGGGGCCCGTTTCACAAAGCCCTTTTTCAATGACAAATGACAAATGACAAAAATCAGTGACAAATCTGCTGATAACCAATCAGAAACAAGGATTTCAGTAGCTTATAACAAAAACTGTCGTTTGTCACTGATGACAAGTTTTGTGAAACGCCCCCCTAAAGTACATGTAGACCTTTCAGCAACTATTTATAAGGATCCCAAGACTATATTGTTTGGTCCAGCATAACTTCAGTCTCTTGAAGCTTAAACATGTGCTGTCTGGTACAAGCAATTAAATCCTTTCTGTCATGCAAATATCTCTGCTGAAGTTCTAACTACCCCAAAACTTCAGATCATCTCCATCAGATGTAAATGTGAGGTCAAACTACATATACCTTTGTGACTTAAACTTGTTCAGTAGTAAACATTTTAGCTATGGACATTTTTTAAAATAATGTTCTCAGCAGTATATTTTCATACTTTACAAAGCTCTGAACCTTTTTATTGTACCTCACCATAGACCAAACTTCTTCCCATTTTATAAGAATAAATGAGCAGTAATAGGAATCGAAATACACTATTATGAATACATCAACCATGAAACAAATTATAAATGTTGAATACAATATTTGAGTAAAGTCAACTTATTAGCATACATGTACATATTAAATATACACTTCATCTTGTCCAATTTCATTGTAAGTGTTGTCAATACCATATTGAGTACCGGTACAAATTATACACTATTTACATAGGTTTTACTTGAACCACAGGTATACCAAAAGCATCATAATATCACAGCTTTATACTTACATTACAATAAATTAAGAAATGTTACCATGTGATTACATACATTAGATATACATTTACAAGGTAGTTACAAGGTAGTTACTAGTTAGATATCATCATGATGTTATTAATATACACATTGTTATATTTGCTTAAAAAGATAAGTCTGGGCATTCTAATGAAATTTACAATGAAAATTGTCAAAGCAAGTTCCCTTTTGACATTCTTGTCAATACGTGTAGTTGTGAAGGCTAAGCCGTGCTCAGATTTTATTTAGTCTATTTGACCTGATTTTAGTATAAATGAGTCTTATCAAGAATAGCTATAAATCTTCATACTGTTAAAACCAAGTATTATCATTGCCAAGGGGATGTACTTGGTTAGTTTCAAGTGCCCAGGACTTTCCCTATCAGGAAAATATAAAATAATTTATCAGACTATCACAAATATATTAGTTTTTATAATATGGCAAGTTGAATACAAACATGAGATTATATCATTCTTAACACTGATTCCTCTATTCAATAGCTAATTGTAGTGTTACATCTTATAAAAGCATTTTTACAAGCAGAAAAGATGTGAAAATATGACCACTTTTAATACAGAGGCTTTAGAATTTGCAAACTTGGTGCCAAGAATATGGTTGTTTGGAATATTTCAATTTTTACAAACTTTCATTGATTCATTTCTTCTAAGTGTCACAGTGTTAGATATATAGTACATTTTGGTCCATATGTAAATTTTCACTCAGTCACAATGACAATTTTTGGGGTGTATATACAATTATTTCTAGAGTTTTGAAAGTAAAATTCTGGGACCTGTTTCACAAAGCCTTTTTTCAATGACAAATGACAAAACTCAGTGACAAGTCTGCTGATAACCAATCAGAAGCAAGGATTTCACTAAGCTTATAACAAGAACTGTCATTTGTCACTGATGACAAGCTTGTAACAAGGGGCCCTGGAGTAATATAAGATTTAGGAAGTAAATGCAGCTTTGTTTAGATATCTTCCGCCCATCCATTTTCCCGTCCTCCGTAGCGTGCCCTGGTAGAGTATGTAGGGAACTTCTCCTGGACATCTCTCAGCTGTTCTTCATTATCAACGATCTTAATAAGGAACGGACTTCCTGGAACATGTTTGTCGGACCATTTCACGTGGATTGTGTAATCCCCGACTTCACTTGGGTTGTACAGAACATCAATGGTACGATCACGCGTGTCGTTACGTTTCATTTCAACGCGGAACGCACCTGAATGAACACAACGATATTGTCGTCATTAAAACGTTTCATCAAATTTCTCAGTAGACAGAACATGGTTAAGAAACTGGCTAAGAATAATGATAAACTTTACTTTTTTTTCAGAGGACATTGAACTTTTTAATTGAACTATATGGATAGGACTAAGTTCATAGATAATAAGATCTGAATTGCTTGCTTTTCTGTTGTAATATAAGTTTGATGACTGACTCCAGTCGTCAGATATATGCATGTACATGTACATAATTATTGAAGCTGGTTTTCATAAACTTCAAGACATTTTGTATAAAACAAATCCATATATGACTTTTATACCCTGATCATGTTTTCACATGCATCGTAATTGTAGATATTGGCTGTTGCCCCTATATATTTTCATGCTTTTTATCTCGAAAATCTTTTTCCTACTTTTGTCTGGAAACAGGAAGAAAAATTTACACCCCTTTGAGAAAAATATACCTTCTTCCTATTTTTCCCATTGAATATATGAACTTTATCATTTGTGGACGATGTAGATTTCTTACCTTTGGGGCCATGAACTCTGACCTTGAGTTGACCTGATCCAGCTCCCTTAGTCTCACAAACAAACCTTCCTCTGAACTTGGTTAGGATACCATGCTCTAGACCAAACCCATGACACACCACCTGGCTGGCGTCAGGGGCACCAGCAACCCGCAACACAAATGGGCTTCCTGAAAACGTACAAAAGTTTATTTCATTTAATAATAATAATAATAATACAGCATTTATTATGCGCCATCGATCTAGTAAACTATTCTGAGGCGCAGAGGGATAGTATTAGAATGAGATACATAGAGAAATGAGAAGGGGGGGGGGGAGGGAGGAGGAAAAAAAAAAGTAGCTGTAACAATTATTTCCTTTACAGATTACCATAGTTGCAGTGCATCAATGATGTTTATTATTGTTTCTTCTAAACACACATCATGTATGTCCAGGGGGGTGTTTCACAAAGACTAAGATTGACTTTAAGTTGGACTTAACCATTTCAGGCCGTTCATGCCACTGTAAGCTCTCACCATTACTGGCATTGCTTTCTCAAGGGATGTACAAATCATGGTCGCAAATGTACAGAATTTAAATTGAAGGAAAAAATAATATCCAAATATCATAATGGTGAGAGCAAACAGTGGCATGAACGGCCTGCCATACGTCGATCTTAGACTTTGTGAAATACTCCCAGGATTACATTGTTACTTTACATGCGTCTCTATTCTGTCCAAACTTGTCCAATTTGAGATCTCTTTCAATACGATAATAATACTCGATAATACGAGGGACTTTGGAAAAATCAAAATTTGCAAAGGGGTGTAGCCTAATAATATACTTGTATGTTTGACTATATCCATGCTATCTTGTACTTTAGATCGGGGGTGTTTCACAAAGATTTTAAGTCGAACTTAACTCTAAGTTGGACTTAAATATTATGGAGAGCCATTTGTAGCCTTATCATGAAATACATTCACAAGCAAAATTGAAGTATTTTTAGACTTTTCATAAATTCCACATCAAGAATATGAAATCTCCCAAGATAATAGAAAATATGAATGATTTGAAATTTTGAATCAACATTTTATGCCTTTTAAAATAATTTGACAAAATATTTTCAATGATGCTAACGGCTTTCCATAATTGTTAAGTCCAACTTAGAGATTAGTTCAACTTAGGATCTTTGTGAAACACCCCCCCAGTTTTAATATGTGCACCTACCTTGGATATGATCTGATCCGTATTTGACCTCAAGAACGTGTTTACCTTGTTCCTTAGGTGTGATGAGCAGAGAGAATGTGTTATCTTGGTTATTACCAATGTGTACCTCAGCCAATTGAGCAGGACCCATGCAACGAGCCGTGAGATCACCTGTTTGGAATTAATCATACACCCGAATATGTCTTGTGCATAGGAAAGGAGATATTTGTGCAATTTGAAGTAAACTGTATAGTAGACTATGTTTTAGCTTGCGATGTGTCATGTCCAGTCAAGGACGCTTCAATAAGCCGACTGGTCTTTGGTTGCAAATGGTTGTTGACACATGACAGAGTCAAGGGACTTTGGGAAACAACTAGAAATCTTCAGAACTACTGAATTGTGAGAGAGGAAGATCCCTCAACATTTTCTGGAGTTCCTTGAATCCCGTCATGGGTCAACCACCATTTGCCGCTAAAGACCAATTAGACTGACGAAGAGTCCTGGAGTGGACGTGAAACGATGAAGCTAAAAATTATGGTAGGTCCAGTTGACTTGTCTGTAATATTTAACGTTATTTATCTACTACCTGGGTGATTGAGAACATTCATAGATGTATGTATGTAATATTGATACAGATTGTTTGGAGGGCAGTTTGTGAGGAACACATACAAGATCTTTAATTTCACTACAGACACACATATTTGTTGTAACTGTCAAGATTCAAATTTAATATTGATACAGAAAACCTTTATTGGTTGGGGTAATTATAACATGTAGTTTAAGCTTCTACCAACCTTAATATTTAGTAGACAAGCTTTCATCCACTCATATGGACTTTCTCAAGCCGAGTGATTATTCAAACAGTCTCTTGCTATCTGCTGCCTCAAGAACACTGGAGCAAAGATAGGTGACAGTCAAAGAAGGCTTGAGAAATTCCATAGAAGTGGATGAAAGCTTGCCTACTAAGTATTAAGGTAGGTAGAAGCTTAAACTGCATGTTAGATTTAAAGCCCCTCTGCACTTGTCTGCAATGGAGGGATTAGATCTCCTTGCATGGTCACTGACAGGATCTCATCAATTCAGCTCTCAATTAACATAAGAAAAAGGGCATCATGGATCAACGGGTACCTCTTAGGCATTGTTGGCTGTATAGAGGGCGCAAATAGCTATAAGTAGTGCAGTGGGGCTTTAATAATCTTTTCTTTGATTGGATTATTTGATGAAGTCTTACCAGCTCCTGCTTCTCGTCCATCGATTACGAGTCTTGATGTGTTATGAGCGACAAGCATTCCTAAGGCTGCTCCGGATGCCTTCACCCGATTAGCATGAGATTCTCCTGCTATGTTCACTTTGAAAGGTGATCCATTAACCTGCCTGTCAGACCAGGCCAGGTGAAGCAGATAGGTACCTGGTGAATAATAATATTTGATAATTTAACGTTTAATTTAACATTTTTAACGTTTTTGTATAGTGCATAGGCATAATTGCATGTCTCTATAGATGTGCTTTAGAGAACAGAATACAGAAGGAGTGGAAATGGTGCACTGGGTTCATAATTGTTGAATCTTATAAAGTGCTATATAAATATGGTTTTGAATTACTTTTGAACTATTAAACTGTTTCTGTATTTCTAAGGTATTCTGGCCAGTTATTCCAAAAATAGTGGCTGCATATGAAAATGACTTTTCCCTGTAAGACTTTGTCATAGTTTGTGGGACATAAAATAAGGACTTTTCACTGGAGGCAGCCTTCTTTGTGGTTTATACTGACCCTACTATTGAACAGACATTTCATTTTTGTTTAGATTTCAAGTAATCCCATCTCAAACAAAACATGATTTCATTAGTACCATTTCATAAATGTTAACAATGGCAGAAGTTTGGATGTGTTTCTGTCAAATAATAAATCACATGCCGGACTTGCTTTGGTTTTTCTGATATTTATGTTATAAGATTTACCAGATTTTGCTTATATGTAGGTTATATGGCTGGCAAGGTTTTTCTAGTGCGTAGGTTACTATTCGACCTATACATGGAGGTCTCATATGTACGTTGAAATAGTTTGAATTGACTTACCAGGTTTTTCTGGTGTGTAGGTTGCACGATATTTGTGGTTCTCAAGGCGTGTGAGGGTGACATCTATATCTTCATCTAGACCACTCATTCTTACGCTTGGGTTACCTGTATCATGAAGTATACATTGATTTAGCAAGAAGTGGAATAATGCACTCTTGTATCTGCTTCTCTCTCTCTCTCTCTCTTTATCTCTCTTGCTCTTTATCTCTCTCTCTCCCATTCCTACTCTCTTTTGTCCCCTTGTCCCGTATTTCTCTTTGTTCTTTCTCTCTCTCTACATCTCTCCTATTCTTTCTCATCCTCTGTCCTATTTTCATCCCCTTGTCTTTTGTTCCTATCCTCTTTTGTTCCTTTCCTGTCTCTCACTATATATATATATATATATATATCTCTTTCTCTCTCTCTCTCTTACTCTCTTTCCCTTCATTTCTCTCATAATCTCTCTTGCCTCTTACATTATCTCTCTCTCTCTCTCTCTCTTGCTCTATCTATCTCTCTCTCTCTCTCTCTCTTTCTTCCTCTCACTCTCTCCTACTACTAATCTTCTGACTGACCTGGTCCAGCGGTAGATCCATCGATGAGGAACTCAGTCTTCTTGAAGACTTTTCCGACCTCCATCCCATCTCCTCTGATCTTCACCTTAGTGTGATCCACTGGAATCTCTTCTGTCTTGGAGTATAACTTGAGTGGTGATCCTTTTATGGGGAAGCCTGACCATGTCACCTTCAACTCATGTTCACCTGTATTGGGAGTGTATACATTCTCCTTGATTTGCATATTGTGACATTGTGATTTTATTTAACCAGGAAGTTTCACTTCAAAGCCCAGCACTAGCTAACATCCTTTGGCAATACATTAATCCACATTTGCCACTCTCCACCCAGGTGTAAAATGGGTACCTGCCAATTGCTGGGGTAATAGTGATTACAGGGCCATCAGAAAGAACCGTATTTATGCTGATGAGGCTTCCTTAGGTAAACATTTTAATTGCAGTTATTTTTGTCGATATTACTCATCTTCTTTCCTATTGCGTCTCGCACCTTTCTTCTTCGTTTCTTCTTCTTCTTCTTCTTTTTCTACTTGTTGTTTATGTTGTTGTTGTTATAATACAGGCCTAAGTGTTTTAAGATGGTGACGTACCTTGTTCATCTGGTATGAATGTTACACTCTGTCGGCCTTGCATCTCCGCTTCTACATTGAGAGGTACCCTGCTGGTCGGTGTGTCTAGGTCCGCCTGCATCATACCTGAAACAAACGTTAAAGACGCATAGTAGTCAACTCTCTTTGGGAATGGGCTTACCCAATAACTGGTGTTGTCAATCACCAGGATTGGCCTTCAGTTGTATGACCAACAGGCCTTATGTTATGTTTTGCATTTTCAACCCATTTGCTCACATGGTGAAGTCCTTATCTAACTTTTACCTTACTAGAAGACTCTCTAAGAAACCAGAAAGGTCCCTCCCAACTCCCTGAAGAAACTAAGGGGTATTTCTTGATACTATGGAAACTATTTCTTGATCTGCATGAGGCGCAATGGCTCAGTGGTAGAGCAGTGGTCTCTTAACCAGGAGGTCCCGGGTTAAAAACCAAGTCAATTCACTTGTATCCTTTGGTAAGGCAGTAATCCTCATTACCAAGTCCCTCGGAGAGGACTTAAGCCATTGGTCCCCTGGTTGTTTACTCACAAGCATATACATGCTTTCTTAGCTTTCGGGTAAAACAATCATCAAACAAATGTATGTACTTACCAGGTCCTGCTTCAGTTGTATCAAAGACAATCTTGAATTCTTTGTTTCTTGTCATTTTGTGCATACCGTTGACCGTCTGATCATTCTTGATGCTGCTTTTCACCACTCTCACTTTTCTGGGATCAGTCACTTTGATGTGATAGGGACTACCTAGAGATTCAACCCAAAGAAATGTTGGAGATCTTGAACAAGGTTTTTTTTTATACCTCAGCCACACCAACGAACCCGACAGTCTGACAACAGACAGAACAAACAATTACATTACCACAAATGGCCAACAATTGGTTTGTTTGGATTTGGTCTTGAGCCGGCTCGGCAGTGTGACTGAACTGAACTGAGGTATTAGTCTGTAACAACCATTACTGTAAAACCAGAGCTCTTTGACTTGAAACTTTCATGATTTGTAAAACGACAGCCATTTTCACATCAAGAATAATTCTTGTAAAATTCAGTGTTCTGTCAATTTTTATTTAATAATTGTTTTATGGCATTAACATTTTGCGAACGTGAACCACTCATGGAATTCTAAATTCTAAAATGTGTAGCATAAAAAAGGGTTAATTCATCAACATGACGTTTTCTTGTCACTTTATTCAGGGCTCCATCCATACTAACATTCTTCATAGGGGTTCAGATTGATATTTTAAACTTCTGCAGTGAAAAATGTGTTTAAAATGTTTAAATTTTGGGTCAATGAAGACATAGATTTGGGGCACCCATGAGTCTATAGCCCTGTACATATTGAGCCATGCTTTATTACTTAAGAAGGGAAAAATGGAACAGTTTATAAGTTTTAATGAATGAGTTTATTACCTGGTATTTGTTTGTCCGACCAGAAGATCTTGAGTGTGAACATACCCACTTCCACTGGTATGTAAGTCACTGTGTATGTACCATCCCTGTTCTCATCAACACTCACTTTGGCCATGGAGTTTGGTCCTAGAAACAGATAACAGTGTGATAATTAGAATCCTTTTACATACAATTTTCCTTTTACAGAGGAAAGCGAATAATTAGAGATAAAAAGAATGGAGAGGATACAAATAACAATAATGATAATACTACTTCTAATACTTATAATATGAGAGCAAAATGCATTACCGTATATACAACACCACTCTCTTGTTCCTATAAGAAACATGATCACAAAAACTTATTGAAATGAGAGAATATTACAAATAAATATAATATGATTGGAATATCATTTCTTTAGACTACGTTATGGGATATTGGCATGGAGTTGATTTCTTGAAAACTTTGTGATCTTGTTATTACAACATTCTAGTACTGCACTTTCCTTTTACAGCTATATTTGAAGAAATTCTTCTTTCTAAAGTTGATATAAAGCTTACCTTCAACCTGTACTCTAAGCTCCCCTGGCCCTGCTGGTGTAGGATCTACGGTGAATATTGCTGGTGTGTCTTCCCTCGCTCTAGATAGACCCTCCCCTGTTGCTTTGCACTTGGAAGGATCCCTTACTGCTATCCTCATTGGGTCATCTGTGAAAGGAGGAATTCACCATTCATTATTAAGGGGTGTGTCAGTGTTTTTTACCTGTTCTGTTTAAAAATGTGGTATCTGCAATAATTAATAATGAAAATAAGTCAGTGTTTTCTTTTCCCTTTTCATGAACCATAAAGCCTGAACACCTTTTCATTCTGTGAAATTGAAAAATCCAGAATACTAGCTTAATAGCACGAAATATACCAAAATTCATTCATATAGTAGTAAACAAATCTTAGATAACATAGCATGATTTCATAACACAGATATTCATTTAATAATTCAGGATTTCATGATACGCTATATCTCATGAATAACCATAAAATTACATTTACTTTGTGATTGAGCTTGGTGAATGCAAAATCATTCAGTATGGTTCACAGAACAGTAACTTTAGCAGAAAAAACAAGTTAAACCAAAAAGGAGAGAAAATTATTACCTGTTATGGACTGTCCATTCCACTTGATATCCACGACATAGGAGCCTGTATCCTTTGCCTTGGTATGTACAGTGAAGACACGCCCTTCCCTCGTGATGCGGACAGGGAGTCGGTTGTGGCCATTAGTGATGTCCACACTGATATCACCTTGCCCTGCTTCCTGTGTATCAACTGTACATGATCAAACAAATAAAAATATTCATAGCCCATATTTAATGTTGTTTTCCATGATTAATCAATTTGTTCATGACATAATTGTTAATAATAATGATAATAATACAGACATTTATAACGCGCAACATATCCACCCAGAGGGTGCTCAAGGCGCTTACAATGAGCTACATAGTATACTTAGATACAATTTTGCTTACATTATACATGGTTTAAAAAAAATGATATTAGTTAAAGTTGGCCATTAGAAAAGTTTTCAGGCTGGCCTTGAAACTATCTACTGATTTACAGTCCTTAGGAGTGTTAGGGAGACTGTTCCACAATCGGGGAGCTGCTGAGGCAAATGCTCGATCTCCCCGTGATTGTTACAAGGTAAACCTAGTTTGAAGCATGGTGTGTAACTGTATGATAATAATAATAAAGACATTTATAATGCGCAACATATCTACCCAGAGGGGGCTCAAGGCCCTTACAATGTGGCCAAAGTCATGATTAATTTGTGAACCCTAACCTTCAAGGACCATCCTCACAAGCACTTTGCTTTTCTACTAGTCCTTTCCGTTATCCATACTGTATTTTGTATTATTTACTTGTGTTTTATAGCTATGGTTAAATAAAATATCTTGAATCTTGAAGATGATTACCTTGGAACTGAAGTTCCTCTCCAATGAAAGCAGATGCATTTCCTCCGACCTTGACATTCCTTGGGTAAGAAGACATGTCTTTCGCAACGTTGACCTTGATAGGGCTCCCTCTCACCATCTCACCTCGGCATCTAACTGAAACCTGGCAAATCAATGTGCATAATCAATAACAATAGTTCTGCGATGTCCCTATTAGTGATACATGTAGATATGTATAATCACCCAAGTCATCAAATTCAGGTTTACTTGCACACACTATATGCAAATTCTCCACTCCCTCGGGAGAATTCTAGGCAGGCATTTTATTACTTTTTTTTGCGGATGTCCACGTTAATGATAATCATTTACCCTTGACTTTCACAAGCACATTTTGTCTTCTTTATTTCAACTATTAATGATTTTTGTGTCACATTTTGCATGTCTTAGAATATTGTTGATCAAAATACTTGTTGTTACTATAGTGTATAATTTTGCACAAGTAGTTACATTTCATTTCGAAGTAAGAAATATTGTTATTTGAATGGAGTGGTCATTATGGGGGAGGGGGCAAAGGGGGTAGATCTTACCTTATGCATACCTGCATCAATGGAGTGACCTATATGGACTGGGGTTGGGGAGTGATCAGTGCTGGGGGGGGGGGGGGGGGGGGAGAGTGAGATCTTACCTTGTGCATGCCTGCATCAATGGAGTGACCTATATAGACTGGGGTGGGGGAGTGATCAGTGCCGGGGGGGGGGGAGATAAGATTTTACCTTGTGCATGCCTCCATCAAGGGGAGTGACCTGTATGGACTGGGGGGGGGGGGGTTAAGACCTTAACTTGTGCATGCCTGCATCAATGAAGTGACCAGTATGGACTGGGGTGGGGGTGGGGGAGTGATCAGTATGGATGCGGGAGGAGGTGGAGGGGGAGGAGGGAGGAGGAGAAGGAGGAGGGGGAGTAGATCTTACCTTATGCATGCCTCCATCAAGGGGAGTGAACTGTACTTCCACCAGCTCAGTACTAAGAGCTTTAAGACTGATCGGGACGGGGCTACCAGGAGACTCAATCTGAGCTGAGATGTCTTCCACCGAGACCTGCTGATCCAATACTCTCACATGTATGGTCACCTGATAAATCAAATCGAATCAAATCAAATCAATTTATTGAAATAGAATCCTTAAAACAAAAGGATCAAAACAAAAGATTAAATTGCATTGTACACCTGCCACCTGGGTCCTGTTGCACAAAACTTACCACTGACCTTTAACTATTCCATCAATGTTGACTACTATGGTAACATCACTCAACCGCCAAATCAAGGTACCCATGGAAGTGTTAAGCACATGGTGTCAGGCCTACTCACCTTGATTTCCTTATAGTTCTACCTTCTTTACTCTGCTATTCTACATTTTCTACTAAAATTGTTTGGCACATGTCATTTTTTTTGGTAATATTGAACATTCAAGTGTAAATTTCGTTGGGATTCTGTGAGAATTTATTTTCTATCATTACCAGAACTCAAGTTTATCTTAAACTCATATATTAAATTTAACACAGATATAATGCTCTTCTGGCTCGAAACAGATGGAATATAGTTGAAGCTTTCAGTGGTTAAAGAAGAAATACATATACCGTATACACCTGTGTATGAAAAGCAGATGAATGGTTTAAGCATGATTGCTATTCCTTTTCAGTGACTGTATTTACAGCCATATGAAGGCAGACAATTGCTGTTCCAAATATAAATTTATTTGTTCAAAGTTCACTAATGATGCATGACACATTCTGTTCTGGATCAGGTCTTGTTTGACTGATTTCATTGTTTGGAGTTACTGTGATATGCAGAAACAGGTATTGGATATCCTACAGCACCCACATGAACTGTATATTTGGATTAGGTTGCATTATTGTATCAATTATTGCCGCATTATTTCTTATATCAATCACTTAAGACTCAAGAGCTTCATGCTTGCTGCAAGGCGGCCTGCGCCTGATTGTAGGTGGTTCAGCTGAACCCAAGACTTATCAAACCATATGTGGCAGTTAGGTCCAAGAAGACTGCACCAGTCACATGCTTACGGTCAAAGGCTTGCTCAATAGATGATGAGTGAGACAATCAACTTGGTCGATTCATGAAATATATGACATCACACTATACCTTCTTTTACATTTATGTCACATTTCTATTCAATTGAAACCAAGACCACTCTAACTTCAGGGACTATTTAACATTCAAACTACATATCTAAGAAGCATAACCAAGAATGCAAATTTGAATGACATGAAGAAAAAAAATCAAAGATAATAAAAGTAAGCTTCATGCTACATTCTTACATGTCTTTCCCAAGCAAACAGTGTAAGGCTTAGAAAAGAAGGTAACAAATCTTGACAGCTAAATAATAGACGTTTAGCCTTAAATTTTCCATTTGTTTTTCAATATTTAAGAATCAATTCCAAAGTTAACCGCAATTAAGAAAAGACTTTTAATAAAGTTAAATTCCTTTCCAAAGTATCCATTACTCTATAAAAGAAGTGTTGACCTTGCATCTGTGACTATTTGCACTGTACCTGTTATTATGATACATGATTAATCAACCATGTACCTGCATTCCTCTCCCAGGCCACAACACATGATATCGAGTGTTTAGTGACACAAAGAAGTAACTCCATATTTTGCCAAAATTAGTATTTGATATCAAAATGGGCTTTCCAGGAAATACAAAGACTTAACTCCACCCAACACCCCATTGAAGTCAATGGCTAGTGAAACATAGACTTAACTCCTTAAGGCCCAAGTGCTCAGTGACACATAAACCACTTTTTTCAAAATAGAGTTACGTCTTTGCGTCACTGACCCCTCGATATATACAATTACAGAATTGAACACAATTCAACACCTGGTAGGATTGTTCATTCATGCTCACAGAGATAGAGAAACATTCTACTTTGAGCTGTGTGCAACAGGTCACAAGAAAATACAGTAGTGCTCTCTGGACGTGGTATTCAACATTTCTCTGGCTGTGGAAATTTTTTATAGAAAGTCTTCAGAATGCCAAGAAAATCAATATCAAACAAACATTGAGTTAAATATAATTATTACAAAAAATAGTAAGTGGTAATGGTGTTTCATTTCCAAGTGTGCATCACTAGGAATACAATGAAATACATATAGTGTATGAGGAGGTTTATCTTTTCAGGCACCAGGGAATATCCATTTGCCTGAAAATTTGTAATATGTTATTTTTCCAAACAGTTCATATGCACAGTTCAACTGCTTTAGTAATTTAATAACCTTTTCATTTTTACAAAACACCAATATGCCTTAATTTGGTTCGCAGTACTTTTAATTTGAAAATCAGCATGATCTGTTTCATTTCTCTGGGCTAGATATATTAGAATAATGAAAAAGGGTGAGTGAAAGGTCAACTTTAGACCTGATGAAAAGGCTCAAGAGAAACTGCTTAAATGAACATAATAGATCTTCAAAACTTAAAAAAATAATTGGTATGGATTTCTTATTGTTAATATTGATGTATAAAGGGATAATGATGAGAGATGCCATACATACCGGTACTTCTGTATTAGCTTCATGAACTTCTCCATTAGGATTAGTATCCAGACCAGTACATCTACTGAGATCAATCTTACAACACAATCCCCAATCTGTTGTCTTCTGAGATGCGTATGTCTCAGCTCCAAAGCTAGTCTTAAAGGTTTCTGAGACGGGTTTAGCCCGGTGGAACCCAGCAGCGTAGGCCATCACGTTCAGTTCATCCACAGAAGGTTGACTCAGTTCAGTCGCTGTCAATGTGGGATCAACATTCAGTTTACGACCCGCTTCGATTCCTGCAAGAAATCATTGAAAATCTGCCTTACGACATCTTGAACTTGATGCGAGTACTAGTGGTAGGAGTAGTAAAGTATGCTACAATACATCTTGCCTGATGCCACAAGTCAATCGTTTTGTTTCGTAAAGCAAGTTTACTGGAAATTAAAAACAGGTTGACAATTTTTTTGGAATAATTCTGAGCAAGTGTTGACTGACTTTTTTTTCAATTACAAGATCAAGCAAGCAATCTTTATTTACTGGGTGCAAGCTAACAAATTCTTTACCACAATTGAAACTTCTCCCAGGAAACTTCTCCTTGACATTAAAGCTACTGTCCTAATGGCTGACTAATAAATATTAAAGTCAGAATGAATCAGGAGAGCTGAGGTATTTGTTTCCAGTTCATCGCGACTGAGCAATTGACCAATGGCCTGGTGGTAGAGTCGCTGACCAGCAACGGTAGATTGCAGGTTCTAATCCCGCTGGTTCCAAGATTTTTAATGACTCGTTTTCAATTACAAGATCGAGCATGCGATCTTTATTTTCTTGGTGCACGCCAAAAATTTCTTTACCCCCCCCCCCCCCCAAAAAAAAAAATCTGAGCAAGTGAATTTGTTTTGTTGTTTGTTTTTAGAGCAAGTTTGTTCCTGTTAATTAGTAGTAATAGTAGATGTACATTCATATTAGTATAATATACAAATATACGAAGCTGTGAGAAAGAATAGTGGAAATTATTTATCTGAGGAAGGACTGGCAAAGTACTATTTTTTCTGAGGGGCAAAGCCTCGAGGAAGAAATAGTAACTATTGCAGTCCCTCCGAAGATATATAATTTCCACTATTCTTACAAACTAAATGCTTGGTATATTTGTTTTATATCACTTCGTTACGATCCGAACGTTTGATTAATGATTGGCTGGCATTATGATTTTTAACTTTATTCTTATGACACCCACATTGGGCCGGCGGTATTGGAGAAGTTTATAATCAGTTTGAATTTGTCAATTTAACCTGCGCACAATTATATTAACGCGCATTTAATGAGATGCGCTAATTGCGCATTATTTTTGACTGAACATGATGTGACGTCACAATGCTTTTCTATCTGAAAATCTCATAGAGCACGCGCAGTTCTGCCCATGAAAAAATAGTGGAAAATATTCGGAGCTCTGACAGAGATTTGTTTCAAATAGTGAAATTATATTTTATCACGTGACCACCAATTGACCAATCATGTATTTAGAAAACTCATGAATATTCATATTAGTATAATTAGTTATATTAGTAGGAGTAGAAATAGTAGTAGTAGTAGTAGTCATCGAAGTAGTAGAATTGGTAGTCCATATATTGGAAGGAGAAAAAGATAAAAAATCACAAGTACAATTATGAATGATAAACATTAATTAATATCTCAGAAAAATGTTCTTCGTAAGATGATGATTAGGAGTAAAAAATTAAAAAGTTCTACATGGGATTGAATGATGAATATTAGAACTGGCATAAATCATGATAAAACGGAGCAAAGATGGTTCGTCATTATATAATGAAATCATATGATTAGTATCCATAACCACAGATCAAGCAAGAAAAAAACATGGGTTATCTGTAGCCTTTATGTCAATATCCATCTTTAAATCAAGTTTTATGTGAAGGTATTCTATTCCCTATTTTGTACATCTAGATTGCAAATCACAGGATTAATAACACTTCATGTGATATGCTTGCAGGCAATACACCATGACACACCTTTGTAATCCTTTAAGATTCAGCATTCTAGTATCTGTAGCCTTGAATGTTCCATCTTGTATACAATTTTGATGTAAAACGTATTCTATTCCCTTGATTGTATAACTAGATTGCAAATCACAGGAAAAATTAATATTTCATAGTTCACCAAACACACATGTAGGGGAAGGGATAGCATTTAATGTAATATGCCTGCAGGTAATACAAACATAACACACCCTTGACTTCCATTGTCTTCATAGTGATTCAGCATTCATACCACTCCTTCCTTAACAAAATACCCCAACATTCCTCCAATCATTTTTTTTTCTTTAGGACTTGGACAAATATTTTTACTTTGAAGGTAGCTGTATTGTTAACTCTGATAATGACCATCGGGCCACTGAAAGATATTGCATTGGATGTAATTCAATAACCAAAGGGCCTTGGGCTAAACAGCAGTTCTCGAGTTCAATTGGTGGTTTTAACCCTTTTGGCAATGACCTTTTTAATACTGGCTCTTGATTTATGTATTCCTGCATGGAATATGAACTTCAAGAAGCCTTGAGTCGATGTTCTTTGAGGTTTCAATTGAAGCCTCGGGTGTGTCGTCAAGGTTCTAGCTTATCCTTTGTACAGTCATGTAGTACAATTGATGAATGTTAATCAACTGTGTGATGGAATGTTGTAATATGTTTGCAGCCATTATAAAAAGAAAATAATATTATCTCTTCACAGTCAGAAGGACATTAACTATGTGCGAAAGTAAACGATTTAACACCTTTTGGCATTAAACAGAAAATTTATCTCCTGACACAGGAAACTGTTATTGGTTGGGGTTATAATAGCACTAGTTCAGGCTTCTAACAACCTTACATTTTAGTAGGCAAGGAGTGGAGCAAAGCTTGCCAACTAAATTTTAAGGTTGGTAGAAACTAGAAAGCCCATAAAACATGTTTGCTTTATCTCTTTTCTCTATTAGATGAAGAGACTTTGTATAGGTGCGATCAAGTAAATATTGCTCAGTGATTTCAATTCAATGGTTGAGTGCTTGCCTGTGAACCTATTGCCCATATATTTGTTCTTGGGTGAAACCATTTCTGAATTATTTACTCAAAACATTTGAACGGTTTACAGCTGATTTGAGCAAAATCAAATTTTCAAACAATCAGTCTTTCTCTCTCTCTCTGTCAGTATTCTCATGTTTTGTTTGTATAGATACATTGCATAAATGTTATCAAGGTTCAATATTAAATAGCAGTAACAAATCAAACATGAGTGGGGTTTTTTTTACTTGCAAAATCTACAAGAAAAATTGTTTTTTTAAATTAAAATTAAAACCATCAAATTTTACTTTCTTTTTGTCAAAGTTTTGAATGTTGCATCTGTTTTGTATTAATAAGAAGGAACAAATCTATTTGTCTTCTTTTAATCATATTTGTTACATTGTTTTACTTCAATTTGCGAGAAGATATTAGTTGTTAAAATGGAACTTTGAGATCAAACATGCCTGCTGATATATGTTGTGTAAGAAGTACCCGGTAGTAGATCTTTACAAGTTTACATCTACATGTTTCATTAAAGCAACTTCTGTTCTATATATTTTTACATGTATTCATTGCTTAAAACAAATGATCTTTTTACTTTTGTTAAAAATATCAAAGTGAGAGTAATAAGAATTACTCATATAGCTTTCCTAATCTTTTCAAAAACAAATTATTGAAAAGGCATTAAATCGGAAAGCCACAACTGAGAGTAGTTCTACAAATTATATCAGCTTATACTTTACACCATGAAATGTTAGTTCACAGAATTATTACAGAACATCATTTCAAATATTACAAAGATATTATGGGGGGGGGGTATGATTTAAACATAATATGGTTGTGAGGCATGTCTTTCTGGTATATGAATGTTACTCATTTCACTTTCTTTTAATGAGGCAGTGTATTTGAACTGGAAAAAAACAATTCTGGAAATTCAGATGTTTCTATAGTTACAAGATATATTTAACTTTATCTCACTATATTATGATAGTAAAGATTGGAAGGAGAGTTATGAGAGTGGCTGTAAAGCTGTAAGAAAAAGTTGATAGCACCAAAACCATTGATATGATGATTAGTAAATATGCCTTTCTTGTATAGCACATATCACATTATGATATAACGTCTCTATGCGCTTCCAAAGGACTTTGGATATTAGCAGCCAATCTGTCTTCATACCTAAATTCTAAAAAGAGAAGGATAACTGCATCCTAGTTGGTATTAAAATGAGAAATATGAGAAATATTAGTATTCCAAATTCAAACCAAAATCAAGTAATATGAGGGAGAAAGAGATATATGTTAGTAAAGAAAGAAAATGCAAAGGTAAAATAATTTAAGTTAGTCCTTGTTTAGTAAAATGTCATCAGGGGTAAAATACCATTGGAGTGATGATGTTTGCCATTCCAGGTCTGATATCTTCTTGAGGTCTCCTGGGTTACATAGTTGTTATTTACATGGTTGCCAGGGTAGCTGTTTTGATGACTATAGTTATTATGGCTGCTGTGAACACTTCCGTTGTTGCTATGGATACTGCTTCCATCTCCTCCTCCTCCTGCTCGTCGCCCTTCGTCTTGAACAGCTTGTCCTACAACGTGGTTTTGTGTCCCGTATTGTTTGTTTCCATAGCGACTGCTACTGTTGCTGCTGTAACTGCTACTACTACTGCTGCTCCTCTTTTGGGGTACGGTGTAGTACCCATCTACGGTGGAGTTGGTATTGTATCCATCGTCGGGCGTGGCGTAAAGCACATCTCCTCCTGTTGTGTTGTATGTGTATGCATTGCGCATACTGGACTCCTTAATGTGATTCATTCTAATTTCTAGTAGTGTTTATAAACCTATTTCACTCGCAACGTTGGGAATACCACCTTGTTGTTTCTCTCTCTCAGTACACCTTGCCTGTAAATCTAGATGATTAAGGAAGGGGAAAAATATACATATAATGATAATAATACCAATGATAATAGTGAAACTTAGATAATAATAATCTGGTGATACATTAAATATTATATACCTCATACATAGATTCTTATTCACTAATTGGTCAAAACTATTTCACATGACAAGAACCATCTCAATCTATCATTGTGTCAGAGGGTTTGCCACGGCCGGGGGGGGGGGGGGGGATAGAAGGGCCGGTATAAACACCACCTTGGGAGTGATAATTCCCACCATCATCCTCATGAGCAGCCAATATTTGTATACCATGTGACACGTGTGCATCATTTTCACTCTCTGCGGAGTAAGAG